ATTTTGAAGCTAGTTGAAAAACATAATAGAAAGTATTTAAGACAGTATATTGGTTTAAAAGTATTATTCTTAAATACATGTTTATGTTTCAAACATACATTATGTTAGAAAATTAGAATTTTTTTCACTTATTTATCATAAATAATATTTATTTAAGTTTTATCATTTTAGTTGCAACGATTACGATACAAGGGACGTTTCAAACTTTAGGCGTATTTGTTATATAAATAAGAAACTATACTGATTAAATTATTACAAGCGGTAATAAGATTAAGAAGAAATGTTTAAACTTTGCAAGTTCTACACCCTTTAAACAGTTTATATAAGCAGAAAAATTAAATTAATTATCTGTAAGCCTTTGTTAATGTTTGTACAAGTTTGCAAGCACATTGTCGGTATTTTGTTTTAATTAGGAAAATATGTTGTAGATTTTAAAGAATAATTTACCGTCACAGGCAACATTTTTTTATAAATTTATTTTTTGATAATTCAACTGTGGCTAAATTTAGTTAAGAAAATTAAATCATTAGTTAGCGTATATGCAATTACTCTTGATTTTATTTAATCGGAAAGGAAAAATGTAGTGCACAATCTTAATCAAGATTGCGGATCCTAAGAAAGTACTAATATGATGTTTACAAATTCTAGTTGTAAGAAGTTAGTTCTAAAAGTAATGACCTCTTAAAAATCTGGGAATCGCCTTTAGGAAAAAACTTGATAGAAATAACAAGGAAAATGTTTTTTCTTAACGATTTACGTCACAGGGAATTTTGGATAAGTATCCTCAACGAAAAAACACTTTACAGAAATTTTTAATTTAAGACATCTGCCAATTCAAGAGCATTTAAAACTTAGAAAACTAATTAATTATTGTATAATTTGTAACTGTAATTAAATTTATGTATAATAAAACAGAGTTTTAAAAGTAAAACAGATTTGCTTAAGGGGCCGTCCATAAATGACATCACATTTTTCAATATTTTAACCCCTCCACCCGTTTCTTATTTTATTTTATAACCGTCACTGATCAGCCGACTAAATTATGGTTAGCGACTATCAATATTCGACTCCATAGTTTTGTAATTTTTAAAACAACCCAGAAGACAAGAGAACTCCTGGATCAAGTATTGAGACAAACTTGTCTTCATGGACCCCTTTTGACAGACCTAATCCACATTTGCATGGAAAGAAAAAACTACGAATACCACCCACGACTAATACCACAACAGAGGGCAAGAGGATTCTAACCTATAATCCGCCAACTAAGGAGGATATTTTATGTCAGCAGGGTGGTCGGGGCGAGCTGGGAGCAGAATTCGCATTAACCAGCCACTGCTGGGATTCGAACCTGTGCCACTCCGACTCCCTTCCTTTCCTTTCTCAGAAAGTACCACACATGCTTCCTTTTCATCTTACCATGTTGTATTACATAAACCTATACAAGTATGTAAAACGCATTTAATAAATCAGATTTCAATTTTTATTTTTAAACTTTAAGAATGTGTTTTGATGACATTTTGTGAGTAAAACAATAATATGATTAAATTTGCATTTATTTTCATGAGGAAAATAACATAGTGCAGGGTTATTCATTATTCCTTCCGGGGTTTCAAAGCGTTATAGTAAAAAAACAAAGACGAATATTTCAAAAAAGAACGCATGAAATTATTCCGAAAGTATTCAAGTTTTAATTTAAGCAGTTATCGGTAGATGGCAGTACCACTGGAGCCAGTTGTAGTAAGGAAAAATGGCGTTTACAGGCGGAGGGAATTATGAGTAACCCTGTATTTAATTTGTTGATTTTAAATGTTTTAATTTTAACCAAAATGCGTTATGTCACTCTTTTTGTCTCCCTCCTCCCCCTTTGTCACAAAATGTCACCATTGTTTTTCGCCTAGCACTGCATCATTTGTGGATTGCCCTTCAGTTTCCCCTCAATATAGAGTAACATCAGCCAACATTAAGAATTTAGCAGGTGATGGAGCAAATAAAAATATAAAATAAATATAAATACACAAATTTTTAAAAATAGAAGTATTTAAAATATACAAGTTTTTAAAAATGTAAGTTTTTGAAATATACAAGTTTTTGAAAATTTCAGCTTAGTATTTTCTTTCGAAGCAGAAAATGCATAATATTTGGTAAACAAGAATTTTTCACATTTTAACGTTTAGAACAATTTAACAATCGTCAATAGAATGTCGATGAACTAAATTATAAAATTATTGATTACTTTCAATAATTAACTGTAAATTATTAATCAATAAAAATATTTTTATAAGTTTCCAATAAACGGTAGACAAAACGTATATTTTAATGCATTGATTATATTATCAATAAAATATTTTAATAACCTGTTTTGTTAAATAAGGAATAAAAGAGTATTTAGGAGTCAGAAAAATCTGCTGAATTAAGAGTTATTAATTTAAGATTTAACATTTAGATTTAGTAGTTATAAATTAAAAATGGTTGCAGTTATTAACAGTAATTAAGTGAAATAAGGGTATGTTAAAAAATAATTATTTTCTCTCAAAAAATATTAACTAAAAAAAATTGAAACTAAGAATTAAATTCAATTTTATAGGGTAAAAATATTTTGAAAAATAAAAAATAAGTTCTTGTTTTATTTCCTATCTGAGAAAAATTAATACAAGTTGCAATGTTGTATTTCTTTACAATTTAAGTTTTATTTGAAGTAATTTTTAAATACACATCTCTTCTAACTATTTGAATTATTAGAATAGAAAAGCGAAATTTATTACTATGGAAGGATGTAACCGAAAAAAAACAAACACAATGGCAAAATCATTTTCTCTAGAGATATGTGAAAAAGAACAAAAACTCAAACTCTAGATACTTAAGCAAATCGAACAAATATATCAAATGATTCATAGTTTTATTTAGTTTTTTTAAAAGTTTCATGAAACAAATGTGTCCTTTAAAACATCATTTATGTTCCTTTGGAATTTAAAAACAGATGAGTGATTACATTAAAATTCTTCGAACATTTAATTATGTACTTTAATTAAAAATTCATGCATTATAAATTTAATGAGATTAGAAATGAATACAAATAAATGAAGCATACTAAGAAAAAAATTTTTCGTCGCAATTAAGAGTAATTGCAATCTTTTATTTTTTTGCTTATTTTTTATTAAAAAAATCTTTAAATAAAGGAATGTCATTCGAAAAATGTTATAAAAATAAATGAATCTAGTAAATTTGAATAAATATTTTTCATTTTATGATAAAGTTGAGGTGAAATAACAAGCAAATTCTATATTGCAGAAACATTGCCATCACACATTTTTTTAGAGTATTTTCTTAAAGAATTCAATAATATTCCACAAGATGCTCTCTAATCATCAACCTGGACATAATTTTAGAATAACTCTGGAATATGAATTCTTGAAAATGTATTATAAATTTTTAGCTTTAAATGAGAATCACGAACAAATATTAACTTCCAAGTTTTCTATAATTTGTAAAATTTCAAGATGATGTTAAATTTTCATTAAAACTGAATGCTGAATTTTACTCAAAGGGGCAGAAACTAAACTAAGGCATTTTTCATGTCGAAAAATATCCACCTATCACTTAAAACCCTTTAACAAAGCAGTAATAATATAAGGTCACCCGGGTAAAAAGCTAGTCACCCCTGTAAAAATCACAAAAAGGTACAATTTAATAATGTGCAACTTTGCCGTAAAAACATAAATATATCTGCACCACCGTGAGAAAATACTCGTCGCCCCTATAGAAATCACGAAAAGCATAATTTAATAATGAATAACTTTGACCCTGGATTTGAAAACCACTCGGATTACGGTTTCTGCAAAGTTCTGCATCTCTCTACAAAGTGAATCTACAAAGTTCTGTAGCTATATCGCACCCAGTTAAGGCCATTGATGGATCGCTGGAATCCACAAATTAGTTTTTAGCGTTTTTCCCGTTGTTCTAATATGCCTCAAGGATTTTCTATTGCTTTCAAGATAGGGGGTTCATACAAGTCAATCAAGAGAAATTAATATTATGCATGCAAGATATATTACATATGCAAGATATCGAGATATATGCAAGATATATATGTAGCAACCCTATGATCACGAAAATGAAATGTTGATGTCTTAATATAACATCTGATCATCCAGAATGTCTTAATTGATTAACCTTTTCTTGAGCATATGGAACGAATCCTGGTTGTTAAAATAAATATCTGTGAGCATCTCTGTGATATTGTTTATCATTCATTGTGATGCACATTCTCCGCTCAACCTTTTTTATGATTACCAATTGCTCAATTAAGTACTTTTATTTCGTTAACTTTCACTTTAATTCCTTACGTTTATCTCTCTATGCAAGTCGTAAGTTAATTCTCTCCTCTTTATATCTTCCAGTTTTATGATTGTAATGCTTCAAAAATTTTCAAGATGCCACCAAACGGAAATGTCCGTTAAATTTTTTTTAGTAAATTATAAGCTTACCGGACCAAAAATTAGTCACCCTAGTGCGCAACCCTCTTTGAATTGTTAGCTTTCGTTAGATGACGCAATGGTCAAGTGACGTGCTCAACGGCATGCACACTACTTCAATGTGATCAAAAGTAAGTAGCTATCAGTGAGATATTTTTGTTTGAAGCTGAAATTGCGTATAAATATGGGTAAGTGTAAGGATGTGATAGAGTGGCAAAAAGAAGCAATTGTGTTTGGTCGTGCCCATGGTCATACGATGAATGAAGTTGCTGGATTTGTAGGTGTTTTGATGCGGAAACGTGTCTGCAATCAGTGGTGTAATACACGTGGTCACGAAAGACGACGTCAGAATTGTGGTCGGAAAAAGATCCTGCATGAAAGGGACCGAGGATGTGTTTTACGACTTGTCAATCAAAATCGCATCGAAACCCGACAGGAATTGCTTCAGTTAGTAAATGAAGGTCTATCCCAACCTGTTAGAGAGAGAACAGTACGTCTGGAGCTGCATGCAATGAACATTTGGAGTCGAACATCTCGTAAGAGGCCATTGCTCACGCAAGCACATGAAGCTGCGAGACTTCAGTGGGCTAGAAGTCACCGAACGTGGACAGTAGCTGACTGGTAAAATTTAATATGGTCTGACGAATCACGTTTTTGCATTTATTCAAAAGACGCTTGTCGTCAAGTGCTACGAAGAGCAAATGAAGCATTTCATATTGACTGTGTGTAAGGTCAGGTTTAAGGCGAAGGTGGGTCTGTCATGCTTTGAGGGCGTTTTTCTTATTATGGATTGGGCTCCCTCACTAAGGTGGCCACTAACAAGATCCAAAATGTTTATTTGAACAGTCTGGATGATTAGATGCTGCCTTTCAGTCAACATCGTTATGAAGAGTGTGTTGTCGATACCCCTATTTTTTAAGATGACAACAGCAAAGTTCATCGGGCTGGAAGAATATGTGACTGGTTTTGCGAACACTCAGATACTCAATTACATCACGACTGGTCAGCAAAATCACCAGACTTGTACCCCATTGAATAATTGTGGGACATGTTGGAACGATGGATGAAATGCTAAAATCAACCTCTTCGCAATTTGGTGGATTTGCGCCATCAAATCCTCAGCGAGTGGCTTATACAGGATTCGACGTATCTGCAAAACCTTGCGGACTCACTTCCTAACCAAATCAAGGTGGTTATAGAATCCAGAGGTGGTGTTACACGCTATTAAGCGATGTTTTTCATGATTTCTCTAAGGGTGACTAATTTTTTGTCCAGTGTGCTTATCTAGAACTTTTAGCTAATCTATAAATGGAAAAGTGGGTTGTTTTTAGAGGAGAGGTTTAATTATAAAAATAGATTACAACCTAGATGTAACTTCCAATTTCTGATGAAAGCTATATCGGATATATATATATAGAAAATTTGCTCTCACCATAATTCTAAAAAAAAAAATTAAGAAAAAAACTGAAAAAAATATTTGAGCATTACAGATTCACTTCCAAAGTCAAATATATTGTGCATTTTTTTAGGAGTGACTAAATTATGCTAAGAATGCTAAATGAGCACATAAAACGGTGAATTGGCAATTAATTGTGAATAAACTTACTATTTTGATGAACTTCTCAAGTGTATTTTATTTCTTTAACGATTCTGTGTTTGTTTTCCCATAAATACAGATTGTAATAATTTAAATTTAAGCATAAATTTCAAAGATATACATTAAAGGTTATGTTTTGAGAACACCTTGTATGTTTTATAAACCTCATTCTGAACACTGTTTTTTCTCTTATCTTTTCTTATTATTGTATTACTACATTTATTTTGCTTATTTTACAAAAATGCAAAAATAGATTCCTTCCACGGTTAAGATCTTTTAATACCTTAGATTTGGACCCTTAATGAGAAAAGGTGGTCTTTTTGGCAGTTGATGTTAAAAAGTTACTAAAATCATCCATTTCTTATGTTGGAAACGTTTCATGTTCTTCCTCATCTTCTTCAGCCAGACGTATAGAATCATTTTCTCCTTGATCCAACAGTGGTGGATCTTCCAACATTCTGAATGGCAACCTTAAGCAAACAGGTCTATCAACAACACCTAAATATGCTTTTACTTTTATCTCATAGCACACCGTTACTCCGTAAGGATTTTTTTCACGTGCTAAGGAAGGTACTGTAGATGGTGACAGTTTTAAAGCCTGTCCTGATAAGCCACCTTCTACAGCTAAAGCAACAGGGTATCGTAAATGTACGGATGGTCGAACAGAAAAAACTCGAGACAAACATGAACCAGGTCTAACTGGGTGACCTGGTTCAGTTTCCGTCAGTCCCACAATGTTTTTAAAGCGACCATTGGTGAACATGCACACGTGCACATGCTGCACCAAAGTCACTCGTATTCTGTGCACTGTTCGGTTGCTCGAATTGTCCAAGGACACGTGTATTTTAAGAATTTCGTCGCACTTGTATGCTTCTTTGTCAAGCCTTGCTTCCAGCCTCACTTTTCCTGTACTGAAGACAAAGGCTCGACTCAGAGCTGCTGCAGGAGGATTAGGGAATGGACCTGGGCTACGATGAATGCATCTCAGAGAGAGTCTAACCAAACTCCGCTTTGAAGGTTTTTCATCTGGTCGGTTACCTACAAAAATATGTATGTTAAAATAGAATTTTAAGAAAAGCCCTAAAAGGAAAAAGCAGAAATTAATGAGTATGAAAAGATGTGCTACAATTGTGATACATAGTTTTTCATACACATATCGCTCATGGGTTGCAATAGTGGTACAGCTCAAAAAACATGCGTTTTGGACTAAGAACAGGTGTAAATATGACAATACACATTCTTTCAGCAGCAATACTAACACAACTCATAATTCAACCTGAAGGCAATCTTCGTTTAAGCAAACTGAAGCATTTCTCATACATTTTCCTTAGCAATGAGAGCTTTAAACCCATTATCTCAAAACTTGATTTTTTGAGTTGTGCCGCTATTGCAGCCAATGTATATGAAAAAAAAATATAAATGTCTTCTGGTTCTATGGGAACACAAAAAAGCTGAATAATTTTTACCGAATTTCTTTGTTGGTAATTTTGGTGAAATTAAATAATAAAATACGGTTTTGTAATATCTAAAAAATTTGATAAATGTAGAAAACTTGGCTATTTTAGTATGATATCCTAGAGCATGTCATAAAAATAATTTATTCGGTTGAGCTTGATTTCGGTTTTGTACTATTTACTAATAATGAGATAATAAGTGCTATAATTTTGTACGACAGAATTACCGGCAAGCTTTTACCATATGAACATAAAAATTAACAAATGAAAGGTTTAAATACAGTGTAATTTACTTTTAGTGCCCAGAATTATGGTTTTACTCATAATCCAAATAAATTATTTCTAATATTTTACAAAATTAATTTTCAAATATATATATATATGTATATATATAATAAACATACAAATGTATACAGAATACATAAAATTGCTATATTGTTTATAAAATCAGATTGGAAAACTTTAACTGAATTCAAATTAAAATCCCCAAAGCCACGAGATTTTTCACATATTCTCTGTATTTAAAATTTATAGAATTATAATTTATTTTCCTTTAAGACATATATTAAATAACATCATTTTAATCATTAATAACAAATTTATTTTTACATTTCAATCTTTGTACTCAAGTTTTAAACAGCAAAGCATTTAAATTAAACAAGAGACGTAGTTTATAAATTATTTTTCGACAGAAGTAAAATAATACAAAGAGACAGACAAGGGAAAAATTGCTTTGCAGTTTTATTTTTAGAAGGCAAATATGATCTCTGTCTGCTAAGATAGAATCGATTTATCTTTGATCATTGAGCGAGAGCTTTTTTATTAATTTTCTGTCGTGGCGAAATTAATTTTAAGCGAAAAGAATTCGGGAAAGAAAGAGAACAATTGCTATATAATGAGTACAGTTTAGCTTAAAACTAAAATTAATTTATCCCAATATTCTTTTATCAGAATAAATCTCAAAAGACAGTATTATGTATGCATTAATGATGTATTCAAAAAGCAGAAATTTACTGTTAAAAGTTTTTCAATATAAGTATCTGAACTTTTAAAGCTAGTTAGTGTTTGAGTAACTATTATTATTAATGAATACCTGAATCTGCAAAATAAACAATATTATCAATATAAAATAATAAAGTAAAAAGGTACCGACTTTTAAGATGCCGTAAATTTTACCTTAAAATCGTTTTTTATTGGAACAAAAAATTGGGATTTGCGGTAATTTTTGCAGTAATAATTACCGTAAAATCACTGAATCACTCAAATTATATAATTTCGATATAATATTTCACGGTAAAAATGGATTTAACAATAAAAATGGATTTTTCGGAAAAAAATGGATTTTACGGATGATGCACTGAAACTGCCGGAACTTTATACTGTAATTTGATTTGGAATTTTTCAGATTCAAGCTGAACTTCCATTGCTAATAAGATTTCAACAGATTCTAAAGTATCTAGCATATGAACTTTAAAATTTATTTTTTACCAGAAATAAAATTGTAGCCAAGATCTTGTGTTAAATTGATATATGTCTTTAAAAATATTAAATTTAACTGCTCCAAGTTTAGAACACGCATATTTTAAGCATATTTCTTTAATTTTCAACATGTTTGATTTTCTTCTAATAAGCAGAATCATACATTGACCAAAATTTTATTTCCAATGAGCTGCACAATCGGTCTTGCCGATGAGCAGACCTAGTGCGTTCTCCAGAGGTGGTATCCTCTCCTTCAGGACCACCACAATGGGTGAGATACCGTTGGTCATGTTAATTTGGATGTTTAGTTTCTGCCACACTAGATGGCAGCACCGGGACTCTATTTGGATGGTAAAGTGCACTAGGAATTTAATTTTTGCCGGAAATGCCAAGAGCCAATAAAGCACTCCCAGGGATCTTTTACGCGCCGTATAATCATACAACATGGCCGCTGAAGATTTTCTGCATCCCGAAAATCTGGTGTCAGGGCCGGGGATTGAACCCGCAGACTTGAGCTCAGAAGGCCGACGACAAACCAACTGCGCTACCCAGCCTCTTTGACCAATATTTGAATGGTCAAAACTACCAGAATATTGTAAAGTTTGTGTTTCTCACTCTATCTGAAGAAGTTCGGTAAATTTTACCAAAGCACTTTGGTAATGATGCTTGCAATGATTAATATGATTCTATACTAATATGACGTTAAAATATGATTTTATAATGAGTGATAAAATTCTTTAAATGTAGTAAAACTGTTTGTAAATGTGTTAAAATTTGGTAATTTTATCAAAATACCTTAGAGCATGGCATGAAAACCATTTATTTGGTTAAATTCACTGTTCAGCTTTGTATTTTTTTTACTAAATGTGTGGTAATGAGAAATATAGTTTTGAAAACAAAAATTTCCGGTAAACCGTTACCATACAAACGAAAAAATGAATGGTTAAAATACTGTATATTTTGGTCTTATTAACCAGAATTATGTTTTTTCCCCAGAAATGTTAGTACTATGCAGTGCGGAAATTTAACTAGATTTTTTTTTGTGTAAGGTTTTGATATTTGGAAGGCGTAGAAAATTCTAAATGTTTGATTTAAATTATTTAGGATTATTAAATACTATTTGCAAGCTTTATTACAGCAACGTTTTTTTCATTATTAGAAAACAGTAAAAAATTCAATTTTAATTCTTTATTAATAATTTTTTTATGGTTTTTTGAATAATGTCATAAGAAACCTTTCTTTTTTAATTTGTAAGTTTTTATTTATTTAAAATTTTTTTGATCATTTGATTTAAATTATATGGTATGGTAAATAAGTAATTGTTTGAAATAATTGTAATTATTTTTCATTCATGAAATTATACTACAATTCATTGAAAAATAACTCATTTAAATTTGACTATATGAGCAAGCATTTTCTGAAGTAAGGTCCCCGCCTCCTAAATATTTAAAACATATTGCATAGCTTGTGGCAATTTATTATTCTTTTACAGTAATAGGTATTAATGCATATTCAAATTTTTTTTTTAATATCATTGCGTGTTTTAATTTTAATAAGTTCTGAAGAAACAATTTAAAGAATTTTATTATGATTTAGTTTAAAAGCTAATATTCCTCTTATGTTTAAGACCGTGTTTTAATTAAGCCGAATGTTTTGTAACTTAGACATTAAGTAATTAAAATAATGCTCATATAAATTGGCAGATGTAAAATGTTTTCTGTAGAGCACTATATAAAGTGTTACATTTATTACATTTTTCCATCCAAAGGGAACATAAAAGCTTTTTTTGCCTTCAAATGAAATTTCAATAAAAGTTTTATCTGCAGAAGTGCATATATTTTTGTGTTACTTGCAAAAGTGTTCAATAGGAACGTCTATTTTTGAAGAAAAAAAACCTTACATGTTCTTTTTACCATTAGTATTCATTTGCGTTCGATTTTCAATATATAGGAGGTTTGAAAAATTCTCTTATAACCGAAATTTAAGTGGAAAATTATATTTTCGATTGAAATTTACAACTTTAGGTAATAACACAGATTTTAAAGTTAATAATTTAAATTAAACAAAAACTATTATTTTAGCTATCACAAAACATACTTTATAAGAAAAAAAAACAATACGCAGTTAGAAATCCGCTTATGGGAATACAGTGCACGTTGATAAAGTTTATAGCTTGTTGTGTCACTCAATAGGTATTTATGAGTTAAAGTAAATGAGAAGTGTATGAGAGAATTTGTAAGGATTTACGAGAAAAGTAAAAAGTTCGACAAAAATGAGTAAAAATTGAAAAAATTTCATATTAATCATATCATAGCAGAGCACAAAACTGGCAATAAAGAAGAAAACTGAATTGAATTAAAAGTAAGTGCTATTTACTTTACATCACTTACTATACACTGTTAAAAAGGGTTTCTTAAAATTGAGCAAACATGTGCCAAAATATTAAGAAAACAAATAATAGTCGAATTTGAAAAAGTCATGTATTTAAAATTGAAGCAGCTAGTACTCATTTCTGAGCAAAATGCATTGTCTCTAAAACAATGTGGAGGGAGATGTATGTGAGAGATGTTCGTTGGTTGAAAAGGGCTTCAAAACACGAACCTCCAGGTTCGTAGTAGGATGCTCTGACCACCATAGTTGCATATCCCAGTCCAGGGAGAGTTAGGAAGTTTTATATAGTGACTACCTTAATGACATATCATGACATATATTCCATTCACCACTCATTTTCAAGGTTTTGAGCATATATAACATAACAAGCAAAAAGTGGAGTTAAAATTACCAATATCCTGACTGAGCTATTAGAACCGTATTTTCCAAATTGTAACTCTTAGTACTGCTGAAATTCAAAATTGGCATGTCATGATGTGTCTTTGTGGTTGCCATTATATAAAGCTTCCAAACTCTCCCTGGGCTAGATTGTACAATAGTGGTGGTTAGAGCACCCTACTACTATTCCGGAAGTCTTTGGTTTTCCCTCCGGCAGCCAATTATCATTTCTCTCGCACATTTGTCCTTCCGCATCACTTTTGAGACAATGTGTTTTGCTCACAAATGAGTATATGCTGTGAGTATATGAGTATATACTGTGAGTATATGAGTATAGGAAATATGAGTATATGAAATGAGTATTTGCTCACAAATGGGTACATCATTTTATGGTAATATTATATGGGCAGGAAGCATGATACATTTTCAGAATAAATGCATAACAGTAAAAGAACAGTGCCTTTAGATATTTAAGAATTTGCGCTTTGTCATTCTTTCGCAATTTTTTTGAGGGCAAAAATGAACGGAATATAACTCAAATATTTCGTTTTATTTCATAACTATCGTTAAACAGCCGATCCAATTTTGAGTTTATGACTACCACTGCTTAACCAATGTTGCCTTGTAATTTTAAGTCCAATCCAGAAGACAAGGGGACTCATTGATCAAGTATTGAGGGAAATTAGCTTTTGTGGAGGACTTTTTGATGGAACTAACTAACATTTCAGTTACATGGAGAGAAAAACTACGAAAACTCCTGATGGTTAGTCAGTGGCAAGGGTTACTCATAATTTATCAACCAATGAGGATATTTTACTTCCGAACTGTGGTCAGTGCATATCTGATGCAGAATTCGTATCAACCAGCAGCCATCGCCAGGCTTTGAATCTGGGTCACCTCATTGGTAGGCAAACACTCTAACTCCTAATTTATTTTTGAGTATGTATAGTAAATTCCTACTTTTACAATAAAAACATATTTTCAACATTCGCATACTCAAGAGAATAGGTTATATCAAATTTAGAGGAAACCTAACTAATCTTAACACGTGTGCTTTGCGTGTCTAAAATAGTTATTTAGTTTACACAGTCTGCAATCAGTTTTTTAAAAAAAAGTAATTATTGTTTAATGAAATCTTGAAAAATTTGATATAATTTTTATTTGTCACAGATTCCGTTTAAATCAGAAATTTAATGAATATAAACATCAATGAATTAATGATGATTCTTTTTTTATGAATCATCATTATGAATTCTTTTTGAATACTTTTCTTCTTTTGAATCCCTCCCTGAAATTCTTTTTTTTTAAAACTTACCAATTACAATATTATATATTTATTGTTGAAGTTAGTGGCGTAAATCAAAGTAACAAAATAACAATGGCTTAAATAAAAAAAATAAAGGTATAGTAAAATAAATTCAAAATAAAGGAATATGCATAAATTTAAAATAAAATATCTAAACAATTTTCAATACACAGCTATTATATAGATTTTAAGAAAGTATTTTCACTTTAATTTCTATTCATTCGGTAAAATAAAAACAATATTTTTGATTGAAATTGATATAGTAAACATAAATAAAAAATGTATATTACTATGATATGAGATCGTACACTAATTTTAAGTGAATGCTTGCTCTTGAAGTTTTTCTTGTGATTTTAAATCTTGATCCTTACTTTTGGAGCTTAAGATATAAATAGATGGATTAATTTTAGGATTTTATTAAATGTTAAATTCAGGAAATATTCGCCAAATATATTTTAAAAAACGCGGTACTTCCATGATTAATTTTCTGCAAAAAAAATTATGGCAAAATCTAATTTGATGCATTTTTCTTATCCGTAAAGATA